TGAAGTCCACCCATCTTAAAGTTGCTGAGGCTGAGGAACCCTGCTTTAAGGTATATTTGTATTTAAATGAGTTCTAGGCCTGCCTTGGGCCAGTCCCTCTTTCAGCCGAACCCACCTCACAGGGTTGTTGTTGGGAAAAGAGGAGGCAGGAGTACGAGGTACGTTCACCGCCTTGAGTTACTCATGGGGGGGGTTGTCTATTATAAACTGTTGGATAATGTTTTCATTTTAATGATCACTTTTTATCTTTTTACAATCATTGCTTTTTCTCTATTGGTTGTTTTATTTAAATGCTGTACGCAGCCCAGGGTCACTTTGTGTGAGGTGCGTGGCTATAGAAAGGTGACTAATAAATAAAAATAAACATTGATAAAAAATAATAAAGGTGGGATATAATGATGATGATGATGATGATGCAGATGCATCTGGAACCAGTGAGATGGTCTTTTCATAGCAACAAATGAAACTCGTGACGGTATGGAGCTTTTTCAATTTTGAACGCTATGAACGTTTTGTATCTCGGCTGCTGATTGTAGTGGTTTTCATGGTTTGAAGACGGTTAGGTTTTTTTATTCGTTTTTTTCTTCGTAATTTTTTATTGTTTCTGGTGTTTTAATTGGGGGGATCTACCCAGAGTCATGACTGTGAGATGGGCGGCTATACAAATTGAATAAAAAAATGAACTAACACTCTGGCATGTCCAGGGCCACGTCCCAAATCAACAGCTTGGAGGATTTGGGGGATGTCTCTCAACCCCCCCCCCCAATTTCAAAAAATGAAAATACCAACAGTCCTGGGATTATGGTTGGCACCCATTGGGGCAAAGGATGAAATGTGCCAGATTACATCATCCCATTAATGCTGAGAAACACGTACGTGGATCAGGTGTCACCCCCCAGATGCAAGACTTGCATTATGCGCACATGTTGATGCATTATGACATCCCCATGCACAAGTTGTTGCTCTGATCCATCTTCAGGTTCCTGCGGGTGCTGCTGTGAGTGCCCGTTTTCCTTTGGGCCCCATTGTGGCTGGTCTGAACATTGCAGGCAATAATATGGTCTGGCCTACAACAATGTTCAAATCCAAGCGATGGCATTTTATGCCTGATTTCATACGCAAGTGCAGCCAAGCGTGAATGATGCCGCAAACCCGTGGTTAAATACAGGCTGTATTTGCAGCCCGTCTAAAGCAAATTCAGGCACTGGTTCTTAAAAGGACTAACCAGTCTGGGGCAATTTGGGGTACAAACTTAATATTTGCATTTCAGAACCGGTGAAGTCGGACCTGTTATTTTTCATTGAAGTTGCTACAGACCGGTGGATGGCGCTACCGTACAGGCAATGTTACTAATGGTTGCGTATTCATCTTCTGTTTTCCCCTGTCCAGAATTTTCTTATGTGCAGCAACCTACAATTTGTACAGGCCTGTTTCTCTCTCTCATGCAACCGTTGAAGGATACAGAACTTCCATCACAAAGGGTCCTATCTGTCTGTCTGTCTGTCTGTCTGTCTATTAAATTTATATGCTGCCCATCTCCCCCCGAGGGTGACTCTGGGCAGCTTACAATTAAAATCCGAAACAATAAAAATATAAATATCCATATTAAATAACTAATAACAATTCTATATAAAAAGCCTATATACAATTCAAGATGATGGGGGAGCAGTATCGATCATCCCACCTGCCAATTCCAACAACGTCTACCTTTTGCATCAACCTCTGTCACCTTTCATGCGCTCATAAAAGGTGCAAAACTTGCTCATCTTTGCAAATGCCACCAAATGCACGCAGCTCCCAATCGCATTCTCTCTGATCTATTTCAGAAGGATGCTCAGACTCAAGACAGGCTGGTGGGGATGCACCCCAGGCTAAGTCGCTGACCACACAGCGACCAACAACACAATAACCCAAAGCAGATTTCATTTGCTTGTTTATTAACATTTCTATGCGCTGCACTCCCCATGGCTCAGAGCAGCGTGCATAGAAAAAAAAAGGTTAAAAAGAACAGTATGCATTATAATGGCACTACCAATAGGGTAGATACCAACCCTAACTTGGTATGTCCCTCCCAAAACCACATTTTTACTTCTTTCCCAAAACTGATCCAGGAGGTAGATCAGTAGTTTCTCAACCTTGGGAAATTTTAGAAAACCTTCGATTTTCAAACTCCCCCATTACACATCCACCACGCTGACCGGGGGTGATGGAGGGGTGGGGGG